CTAACAATACATAGACCCACAAAATATCGCAAAAGTACAGCATATCTTTTTCTCTTTCCTATTTCTCAGAAATGCCTTCACAAACAATGAAGGAGGTGTAGCATTAGAAGTCATTTATGGTAGCTTTTTAATAATTCACTGGCTGTTTGAAGACCGCGAACAGACTATTTCTTCAAGTCCATATTATTGCACAGCACAGCACTAAGTCAAATTGCAAAGGAGGCATGGCAACGTCTAGAACGTGGACCGGATTAGGAGAGGCAGCCTATTCCATCGTCACAGCTCCCAGGACCCCCAGAGAAGCCCCGGGCCCTTAAGGAGAATGTGCAGGGAGTTCCTTGAGGAATTCTCCGGAAGCAGCTAGCCTCACCCCGGGCTGTTGCAGACAGCCCGTCTCAAGCCATGCCCCTCTCTAGTTTCAGAGCAGGCACAGTGCCAGAAGACCCCCAGCCACACCTCCTGTGAAGTCCCCCTGACAACCACAGGGTGACTCAGAGGGACCATGGGCACTAAGGAGGGGGAGAGAGAGAGAGAGAGAGAGAGAGAGAGAGAGAGAGAGAGAGAGAGAGAGAGAGAGAGAGAGAGAGAGAGAGAGAGAGAAGCGCGAGCTGCGAAACTGCTAGCCCGGCCTTGCAGAGATCACCCATCAGGGCTTTCAGAGGAATTACACACTTCTCAAACCTTAGCCACCCTCTCTTCATCCTGGAGATCGCAATCTGAAACTCATATTTCATTCCTCCTTGGGCAAATGGGTCTCACTCACCCAGAATAACACTATCTTCAACTCTGCCAACACAGGGAGGCACTATGCGGTGGGAGAGAGAAATCTGAGAACCTCAACCTCGAAGAGTCAAGGTCTGGGCATCACCGAACGAAAGGTAGTAAAAAGGTGCATTCAACAGAGCAAACAACCACACCTTTCATTTCAGGTTCCTGCAGAGCTCTGGCTGAAATACTACCGGAGACGCAACTGCCGAGCTGTGTCATGCAAAGAATCCAAAAATCAAATCAATATTCCCTCTTTTGCAGCTTAGAAACCTACAAGAGGTTTCTGCATCCGGGCGGCAGGACCACGGAGGGCGCAGCAATGCGCAGTGATGAAATGCAAAAACCAGAGCGTTGGCTTCCGTTTGCACTGGCCCTGCCTGGGAAACAAGGTGAAACCGCAAGAGCTTTAAGCAAGCTGCTGCTGACGGAGGGGGCATGGGACCCTTGCAGAGGAAATTTTATAGGAGAATAATGGGAGCTTATTAATGTTTTCAATGAACAAAATAAGCTGCAAACTAAGACCTGGGTATTGAGATACAGGTCTTGGTTTCCTACAGACGTGGCCAGTGCCAAGTGCAAAACCCTCTTTGGAGGCCCGTCAGGCGAGATCCATTTTCTGTCAGCAGTTCTCAACTTCTCCCCTTTCCAATGTTGTCCAAACCCAGCAGCTCACAAGCTTCCCCATCTCCCATTGAGACAGTGTCATCCTGTCCACTAATAGCTGAGCCCAAAAAGCCCCACAGATATCCTCCACACTGAGATAAGGAAACAGATGTTTACAACGATGTATTGGGGGGTAGGGGAATTTTGGTACAAACGTCTACACACCTAACCTGTACTGGTTAGAATGATGTTGCCCCAGAAGGGCCAGGTGGAAATTTTGCTCATTAAAAACCTGGTTAATCCTTCCAAATTTATAGCAAGGACCAGAGTAGCCACTTAATAAAATAGTCAACTCGCTAATAGAATATGTTTCTTTTTTTTTTTAATTGACAGCTTGATTGAGCTATAAGTCACGTATCACACAATTCACCTACTTAAATAAGTGTGTAATTCAATCTTTTACTACATGCACAGATAAGCAACCATCACCACAATCACCTTTAGAACATTTTCAGCATGCCTGGAAAAACCCTGTATTCACAGGTATCACACCCATTTCCTCTCAACACCCTCCCGCAGGCCTAGACAACCACTAATCTATTTCTAGTCTCTACAGACTTGCCTGTTCTAGACATTTCATATAATGGAGGCATGTAATACCTCTGAGTGGCTTGTCATATAACACAGTATTTTCAAGGTTCATCCATGTTGTAGAACGCATTGAAGCTTCCTTCCTATTTATGCCCAAGTAATAACCCATTATACTGATTACCACCTTTTATTTATCCATTCATCAGTTTATGGACATTTGGGTTGTTTCCATTTGGGGCTATTATGAGTAACATTGGTATGAATATGCATGTACAACTTTTTAACGGAGACACATGTGTTTATTTCTCTTAGCTATCGATATATGCTGAGATAGAAGTGGAATGTCTGGATTGTATGGCAAGTCTATGCTTAAGGAAGGGCCAAACTGTTTTTTCCAAAGCAGCTGCATCATTTGACATTCCTACCAGCAGAGTGTGAGGGTTCCAACTTCTCCATGTCTTTGCCAGCACTTTTTATCACAGATAGTATCTGGTTATAGTCATGCATGAGGGTGGGAAGTGGCACCTCAATGTGGTTTCAATTTGCATTTCCTTGATATCTAATGAGGCTGAGCATCTCTTCGAGTGACCACTGTATATCCTCTTCAGAGAAATGTCTGTTCAGATCCTCCGTCCATTTCTTAATTGGGGTATTTGTTTATTATTGGGTTGTAAAAATTCTTTATATAATCTAGATTAAGTTTCTTATTAGAAACATCTTTTGCAAACATTTTCTCCCACTCTGCGCTGGTTGTGGGTTTTTTACTTCTTTGATGGTGTCCTTTGATGTACTAAAGTTTTAATTTTGATGAAATCCAAGGGGGTTTTGTTTTTATTTTTGTTTTGTTTTTTTTGTATTGGTTGTATTGTCTAATCCAAGGTCACAAAGATTTATGCCTACATTTATTTCTAAGAGTATTATAATTTTAGCTCTTACATTAAGGGCTTTGGTCCATTTTGAGATCATTTTTTATAATTGAGCTAAAGTTCACTTTGTGTTGTTTACAAGTGTGTTGTTAAGTATAACTTCCAAAAAAGTTATAAAGATACATAATTTTTAAAACATATATTTAACTTAGTAGAAAACATTTATTGAGAAATTACTGTGTTTTGGGCCCTGTATTAGACTCTGGAACTACATGGTGAAGAGAAATGATAAAAATTCATACCCACATTGAATTTACAATCTACTGGGGAGAAACAGACAATAAATAAACCAATGACTAGGAAAATTATACTGACTATTAGAAGGAGAAAAACACTCCAGAGAAAATTCTTCAATCCCTCAAGGAAAAGCAGGAGTGCTGGGAGAGGAGTGGCATTGTCAAAGGAGGAATGCTGGGTTAGGTCTCAATGACAAGTGGCCATTTGAGCAAAAAGTTGGAGAAAAGGTAGTGAAGCTTGCACAGGAGATAAAATACATGCCAGTTACACACTGATTTCATCTACTCGTTAAAGAAGGGGCCAAGGGCCATTTGGATATCTATAACATCATTCACAAGCCGTACAAAATTATCAACTTAAGAATCAGCCTGTTATATTTGGTCAAACATGTAATTAACTCACCCCTAATGCCTTGCCAGGGCCAGACCAAATGACTTCAAGGGCTTTATAAAGCCCTCAGACTAGACGCTTCCCACCCTTGCTTACTGAGAGACAAGAGTATTAAAGGTCAGAACATTTTATAAGTAGAAGAAAATTAAAAACTAATTAACCTCCTTCTCTGAAGGAGATAACTTAAGCCAGAAAAGCTAAGAACTTAGGGAAAGATGTCACCAAAAGGAAGACACATGCTGAATACTGAGGAAGTAGCTGATGCCTTAGACCAGTGTTTCCCAAAGTGTGGTACGTGTACCCCCAGGGGTACGGGAAGAGTTTGGTGGGGGTATGTGTTGCACCAAAGTTTGGTGGGGATATGCACTGCACCGTGCTTAGCTGCGCCTAATTCTACGTTCTCATGAGTACGAGGGGTACTCAGCGTTACGAAAATTATAGAAGGGGTACACATATGTCAAAAGTTTGGGAAACACTGCTTAGACAACCGGGCTGGAACCAAAAGCAACCATTTGGGTGTTCTACTTTTGCTTACATCACATTGGCCACATTGGGAAACTGACAGACTAAAAAAGACTATCCTTCAGGCACAGTTCAGGTTTCAGCCTGTTCAAGCAAGAAATAACTGTGGTATAGTATTTAGCAACACGTGTGCTAGTGTTTATTAACATTTTCAAAATTATTCCCACATCATAAGAAAATTGTTTGGATTTTCTATTTGTTTGTTTGTTATCCTAAAATCAGAATCTGGAAGGGTACTGTGGCAGAGATTGTTACTTATACCCTGATGACTACTCTTCTTTCTTCTAGAGCAGGAGTGGACAAGATTTTTTTTTTTTTAATAAATGGCCATATTGTAAATATTTCCCACTTTGTGGGCCAGACAGTGCCTGTTGCAACTGCTGTTGTAGTGCTAGTGTAGTCATGGAGTTGTGTAAACAATTGGGCATGACTGTTTCAATAATATTTGATTTATAATAAGCAGCAGCAGGTTAAATTTGGCCCAACACCCCTATTCTAGAGTAAGAACCTGGTTTATGGCCACGTGAAATGCAGACTACATTTTCCAGAATTCCATGCAGCTATATGTGGCCGTGTGGTAAGGTCTGGCCAAAGTGAGGTAAGCAAAAGTAGAACACCCATCCATGCTTTTCTTCTTTCTATCATCCTGCTGCTGGGAATGCAAAAAGCCATGGAACCTGCTGGACCTCTCCATTGGACCATGAGGACAAGAGTCCATGATGGAGCAGAAACAGCCCTGTGCTGCCTAATTACAGACTTTTTGTGAAGAACAAATAATCATCTATTTTTGCTTAGGCCTCCGTTACTTTGAGTCTCTAATATTCTCAAAAATATGCACAATGTAACTCTAAATTAGCACAGATATCATCTCTTCAACTCCCTCATATTATAGATGAGCAAAGGAAAAAAAAATACACACACACACATATATGTGTGTGTGATTCAGTGGTTGAACACCAGAAGGTCGCAGTTCAATTATCAGGCAGGACACATGCCCAGGTTGTGGGCTTGATCCCCAGTGTGGGGCATACAGGAGGCAGCCAATCAATGATTCTCTCTCATCATTGATGCTTCTATCTTTCTCTCTCCCTCCCCTTTCCTCTCTGAACTCAATATTTTTTTAAAAGAGAGAGGGGGAAAGATGCACACATAAAAAACACCTGAGGCTCTGAAAAGATGCTAGACATGACTTAACGTGGATCAATGGCTTGCTAGCCACTGGCTAACTAACAATGGCTGGTCTGAAGGAAGGCCTAGATCTAAAGTGTTCTAAATCTACATCCAGTGCTTTTTCTACATCCACATGAGGCTAACACTCCCATAAGCACTTGCTTAAGTTACAAAGGGTAGTTATTTTCTCTGTGTGGCTTTTTCCCAACCATTTAAGCTACTTGTTTTCCCTGGGAATGAATGGCTCAGTTTTATTGTAAAAGTAAAAGGAAAAACATTTTTTATTAATAGAGACTCGCTTTATAGTTAATTCTTCCAAATTCTATTTCTTTCAGAATGGGAAGTGTTTAGACTAATTTTCCACCTAAAGCAGCAAGAAACTCCTCAGAATTCCTTTCAAATAATCTTACCTATTATCTTGAATCATGCATTAGATACACACCCAGAAATAAATACTGTGACTAAAGGTTAAATGTGAGAGCAAGCAGACTTCAACTTTAACCAAAATTAGCAGCGACAACCTAAACTCATGAGGGAAAATATACCTTTCTAGGTTTTGCAAAGCATATTCATACCAGTTATTTGATTGAGCAATAAAACAGCTCTGTGAAAGAGTATTATATCTGCTTATGCAGATGAGGAGAGAGATTTTGGGGAAAGGAAATGACTATATAATCATCATGACAAATGTGTGGAGTGCCTTAAGTCTTAAAGCACTTCCACTTAGTCTTATCCCGCGAGTTGGGTTCCTATTTATCCCCGTTTTCCATAAAATCACACACTAAGAAAAATGAGACACATGGCCGATATCACCAAGCTACCAAAGTAGAGCCAAGACACAAATCTGATTTCCAAGCCAGAATTCTTTCAGCTTTAAGGCAAGAAATCCGCTACCTGAATTCCAAACCCATTGTTCCTTCTAAAGCTGACACCTGGTCTCTTAACTCCTGCTTAATTTTTTCAGTTAGTTACACTGTCTCGTAAAACAAATGCAAATCTTCAATAAAAAAGGAGTGGAATGTGTTAACCACATACAGTGGTATGTCCGTAAATGTGTATATATGTGCAAAAAAAATGTGTGTATGTATGTAATCTATGTATTTCTGAGAGCCAATATTTTATATACTTAATACATCCCTTAAAAAAAAAAAAAGGATTTGAGATGTGAACAGGTCCAATCTGCTTAGACAGATAAGCAAATGAAATTTGGGAAGTTGGTGTTTTTAAAGACATATGAACAGCATTATGAAGCAAAAGAAAAGGTGACTGAGAAGCACTGCATCATCTCTTTCATTCCTTCCACCTCCCCCCTCCCAAAAAAAAAAAGAAAGAAAAAAGGATAGGTGCTCAATTGTTTAGGGCAGGGATTTTCAACCAGTGTGTTGCAAGAGGCACACTGGTGTGCCACAAGAATGTTTAAAACACACAATACCTGACTATGTATTCAGAGCCACTGACCTATTTTCCCTATTAAAAAATGACAACAGAAAACACAGTAGCTGACTGCTGTGAATTAATACAAATTATGCTTTTTTTTTGTCTGGTCAGCAAAAATCGTATTTTTTTTTTTTTTTTGGTGTGCTGCAGAATTTTAGTAATTGGTTTATGTATGCTGTGAGATGCTGGTTTCGGGCAATTTCAGTATGCTTCCTAGGAACAGCAGCATATAGCAAGGCACAAACAAACAAAAAAATCACAATATATAAATATCTACTCAATTAAACAGAACTCCACACAATAATAATCCTGCTGAAACTAACAGGATTGCAGCGTCTTTCTTTTAAAAAATTAGTTTCCATGTTTTCTATTAATTACTGGCTGATCTTAAAAGTCCTCCACAAGGAACTCCGTAATAGGAAGCCAGTACACACTATTCGTCCTATCTTATTTCCTCTGTTAAAATTCTTTCATTCATCTTCATACGCACCATAACGGGCTTCAAAGTGGTTTGCTAAACGGTAGGCGCTCAGTAACCACTCTGTGAATTCGGGGAATGGACACAGTGTCCCCAGACAGGCGAGAGCGCACAGCATAGAGCAAAACTCGCCGCAGGGCAGACAGTTTTTTTGTGTTGCTTTTGTTGTAGTGAATCCTTACCCAAGAATATTTTCCTATTGATTTGTAAAGGGAGTGGAAGGAAGGAGGAGAGACAGAGAGAGAAAGAAATATCAATGACAGAGAGAGACACATGGATTGGTTGCCTCCCACATGCACTCCAACTGGGGATCAAGCTTGCAACCCAGGCACCTGCCTGTGACAGAAATCAAACCCTGGATCCTTCAGTCCGAGGGCTGGTGCTCTATCCACAGAACCAAATCGGCTAGGGTCAGATAGTTTATAGTAACACAAATTTCCACTGGCACCTTGTTCCAAGATTCTCAGAAAACTGCTCTGAAGACAAATAAGACATCTGTTGTCAGCACTGAAAATGCACCTGATGCTTTTGCAACACTTGAAGCAACCTATAAAGTTGTTTTCTTAAGTATTTTTTAAATTCTCCCTAAAAATCTTTCATTAATGTGCAGAGTGCTTTGCTCAGCAAAGCTAATGTCAATGACTCTGTTCAAATAAACGTAAGTTTTAAGTACAAATTGACAGTTTGCTTATAAACATATATAAAATCTGTACATCTTGTAACTACAACTACCAACCCATTGATTATATAAATAACTAACTCTGAGAGCAAGGCTGAAATAGGAATCAAAAGAAACTTGTAGCCAAAGCCGGTTTGGCTCAGTGGTAGAGCATCGGTCTGTGGACTGAAAGGTCCCAGGTTCGATTCCGGCCAAGGGCATGTACATTGGTTGTGGGCACATCCCCGGTAGCGGGTATGCAAGAGGCAGCTGGTCAATGTTTCTCTCTCATCGACGTTTCTAACTCTCTCTCTCCCTTCCTCTCTGTAAAAAATCAATAAAATATATTTTTTTTAAAAAGAAAGAAATAAAAAGAAACTTGTAATGTCATGAATACAGATGTTCTGTTGGGAAATCTTATCAAAGGATATAGACATTTCACAGGGCCCTACCTGCTTCATTACTGAATGATTCCACCAAGCTCAATTGCATTTCCAAAGGGTTTTGATATTTACATGGAAGATATTTTGAACAAATTTAAGAAAGATGTTACAAAACAATGTTGAACTACTCTATATAAAACAATTATATAGAAATTGCTCCTTGCATTGGTTAGAGAAGCATGCACCTATAATGTTTCTAAATATTTATTAAATCAGAAAATCAATGTAAGTTATATTTATCTTAATTGCAAAGAGAGATATAGGCCTGGCTGACATGGCTCAGGGATTGATCATTAATCTGTAAACCAGGAGGTCAAGGTTCAATTCCCAGTGAAGGCACATGCCCGGGTTGCAGACTCAATTCTCAGTGTGGGGTGTACAGGAGGCAGCCGATCAATGATTCTCTCGCATCATTGATGTTTTTATTTCTTTCTCCCCGTCCCTTCCTCTAAGAAATCAATAAAAATATTTTTTAAAGAAAGATATAGAAAAAATTTCCAATATAATGACTTGAAAAAATTAACTATTAGCTTGAAAGCCAATCAGTCTAACAGTAACAAATCCAAATGTTCTACCTCTGGCCAAAATGGGAATTTGAGCCTGGCAGCAAAGCAAATCTTCTGTGGCCCATCACGAGATGGTTCAGGTTGCAAAAGAACATTCCTTCAACATCTAATAATATCTAAGCATATGTTTTATTATTTAGTAGAAAAGAGTAAGTAAGGCACTTCCTGCCAGTGTGGTCATAACCATATCCTGGCCAGACTTAAGGGCCAAGGTATTCATTAGCTCTGGATGTGATATTGATGGGCTAAGAGAAAACATCTCTGAGGAAATGACAGATGGTGGCATGAGCTGGGAGTCACAAAGTGTGTCTCTAGTCCAAGAATGCCACTACCCATGAGGCCATGGGTCCTTCCAGTAGTGTCTGTCTTTCATTTACCTATTTATAAATCTGGGATAACATTATACTCCCTCCCCTATTTTCTTCCTTCTTCATCTTTCAATAATAATCCTGATCCTTTAGTCTACTACAGAAGATGAAACATTCAGTGAATAGGGAGGAAAACCAGGGTCATTCTCATTAATAATTAATGTGTATGTTGTTCTTTACACTTAATAACTACTTTGTAACTTTTTAAAACTTCACACCATTTTAAAGATGGTAAAATTAGGGTCAGAGAAATTAGTTAACTCACTCAGGTTACATGGCAGAGGCAGATCTTGAACCCAGACCTTTTGATTCTAATCTATATAATGTTTTTCATATAAAATGTTGGCTCGCTGCCAAACAGGTAGGGATCACCTTATTAAGTAGTGTATGGGCCTGCTAAAATGGGACCGTGCTCAGTACAAAGTTTCTGAGTTCTCAAATGAAATATTTAATCACCCAGCTACCTTGCTCCTTAATAGTCCCTCCAAGAAAAGCAAAAAGTGGAGCAATTCAACCTCATTCCATCACGTGCATCAAAGGAGGGGGGAAAAATCTATATATATGAAATTTAAAACGCCAGGAAGAGGTATCACATACATATAAAGTAAAATGGTGAGACAATGACTAACTTCAATGCCTAGAAACAGAGGTTGTTGGCAAAATCCAAAGGATTTTTCAGGATTGGCAAGGGGCGGGGGATGATGGGATGCTTGTTAGTTGATCTTTGGTGAAAGGTCTTCTGATTCAATCCCTCATTCCAAAGATGAGAATGAGGGCCAGAAACAGCGATGTTTACATTCCTTCAGCCATCGGCTCCACGGGTGCTTCTTGGACGATGGCTTACCCCAGGCGTGATGCCCTCCGAGGCAGAAATGCTCCTACTCTGCTCTTGACACTTCATTCTTTCCCCCAGGGCTTCCATTCTTTTGAAAAGCTCTCTCATCTTTCTCAGCTCGATTTCTACACATAAATGAATCCTGCTCTG